CTCGAACCTAAGAGCGATGGCCTCCAACCTAAGAGCAATGGCCTCCAAGCTAGCTTTAAGTGACATTAGCCTACGCCTCAGCTGCAGGCGGTCTATACCAGCAAGGCAGCCGAGCGATTGCTGAGGGAGCTCGAAAACATGGACTCAGGTGAATTGCGGCGGACCGGCGAGTTCGGAACCTGGGAACCTGTGTAAAGGCTAAGTTTCACAGATTGATTTGATTTGTATACTTTTGTTACACTACTAAATGTAATTCTACATTGCACGATATTAACGATATTATATATATATAGAATATATGTATCATATGTTTAATGTTTCAGAAGGAACGCAAAGAAAACGGCAGGCAGAAGTCAGAAGAGTCAAAAGCTCGACTCACATTGTGACGTGATCCACAGCACTGTGACACATGATACCACTGGCACATTTAATGATTCCCCTTGATGGAGATGCAGGAGATCTTGAAAAAGCCAGTGACTTGCAGGCCTCGAGGGAAGCTTCTCAGGGTGCATGCACGAGATTCAATCACGGTGGTAGATAATGGACAGCAACAACTCTTCAGGATGATGTCGGCTCCTTTCTGCCGGTCCTGGGGTAGCAACCAGGGTTGTTTTCCCGAACCATCGTGTTTTGGATTCGAGTGGAGGGATTGGCAGTTTACCACCACCATCCACCACCATGTGTCCTAGGTTCAATCACGTTTACAGTCTTCTTTGCAGAGCTTAGGTGAGTGGCTTTAGTAATTAGACATTTCTATAAGAGACCATTCTATAGTCTCCATCAGTTTAGATGGTCTACACATGTAAACACTGTTGTGACCGCCGATTCCCTGCAGTTGGCAGCACTACATTTGCTTCGCCGTCTTCGACGCGATGGAGGGCGGCACGCACGGGATGCCTGTCAAGGCTGCCTTGAACCAGTAGCGACTATGGTGAGTCTGGTATAGTTTGCGGACAACGAAGGGCGCTAAGGGCTTTGGGCTCTAAGGGCTTGGTAATTAATAAGATGTTATAACTTTTGATCAAGTATTGATAGATCTAAGTCTTTGCTGACTTCTCGGCCATCTAAAGCAAGAACCAGCCTTCAGCCCTTCCCATGATTACAGTTCCTGAGAGATGTGCTGCTGTAGAATTGTCAATCCTTGTTTCTCTTTTCTGAAGGAGTCGTGTTGAGTTCCAACCATGCGAGGATACCAGCTGCAATTCCGTGCGGCCGCATGCCATGCCAAAGAGACGCTGTGCTGGGATTATGATTAGCAGATCTCGGATTTCGGCCAAGGCCAATGGGCTACACCTGAGTACAAAATGTAGCTCGCGTACGGATGATACAACAATTTTGAACACCACAAGCAGCAAAATGCACAACAGATCCTCGAAGGAACTTACATTCTTTGGGACATAGGCACCCTCAGAAGTTGTGGGACCAATAAGGACGTGCATGAACATCCGAAGAGGATGCCTGACCACAAAGATGTGAGAGGTGAGAGGTGAGGAATGCCCTTTGCTCCGTTCGTAGCGTCCTTGCTCCTAGTAGTACGGCCAGGAGCGCCCCTAGTAGCGTCCTTGCTCCTAGTAGCGATGCCCTTTGCTAGGAATGGCCTCCAACCTAATACAAATCACCTCCATGACTAGTCACAAGTGACACTGCTTTTGCTCATTGAAACGCTTCTATACTTGGGTAAGCGATACTAGCCTTCACGCTAGTCTTGCACTAACCTTGCACGTGTGAATACAGCTTCCCACCTGTTATATTTCAATACTTTGCCCCAGCGGACAATGTGTCTATAAATATATATATATACAGCAAATATGAATATATATATATATATACAAGGTGACCCGGAAGCATTGGAGATCTGGGCATGCTTACAGTTTTACTTCTGCAAGCGGTTTCATGTCCTAGTGACTAGTGGCTTTGAACTGATCAGGCGAAGGTTTGAGACAGTGGCTTTGACCCATGAAATTCATGAGGAAAGGCGTAGCAGCTGGCCTCCAGCTGGCCTCCATGCTGATCCACCTCTCGCTGCCACACATCATCCCAGGCTGGGCCTTCAGTGGCGGAATACAGAGTTGGGAAGAGTGCAACTGCTTCCAGGTGTTTGATGCAACACTGAAGAAAGTACAGTAGTAAATACATAAGTCGAAGTCATTACAGTATCTTTCTCTCAATGAAT